TCTTGGGTAGATCCTTCAGATGATGATCCCTCGAGAGGTAATGGTGGGACTCTCCTCCTCTAATCTCCTATACCCGAGCGTTGGTGTATCGAAGGTGCCCTTCCCACAGGGTCATCAATAAGGAGAGAGAACTTATATAGTGTAAAAACCGCTTTATTATAAAAGTGATAAAATCACAAGAAACTACTCACACATTCACATGTAAAAACGAGCCTTCACACCACTCAAAGGGTGTACTGTATTCAGGGACTGAGAGCACCAAGATGGCGCCCGCGCCGGATATGACGTCAGAACGTTCGTGTAAGCTCCTCCGCTGGCGTATCTACGCGTTACGTCACTTCAATCACGTGACTTCATCAGGATATACGCCTATCCTGGGTGGAGCCCTATTTATTTACTTTCTGGATTTACTTCCAAGACTTGTGTCATCTAGTCTTGTATGGTCTGCTGTGGTGTCTGTTGTTGATGTCCGAACAGGGAAGCAGTATTATAACGGAAGTACCCAAGCGCAGACTGGGTCGGTTCCGTTACAGAGACAAAAGTCTTCAAACACCCCAATAAAACCTCCTCTGCATAATTAAAGGGCCAAGCCCTTACCTACCAACCTTCAGAACCCGGAAACAGCTGCAACATTTAATGGTTAACATGGCACCCCTTCTTCAGTCCCTTCGGAAGGGTATACTCCTGAATTTTCACAATAGCATATCTATTGGCCTGCTTCTGGTCTGCTTTTTTGTTCCTGTCCCCCCCCCCTTCAAGTGGCTGTGATCAGATTCTAATTTCATCAATTGACAAATGTTTGCCAACCCTATCGCCCTATAAATTTAGTTCAACTTATGGGGAAGTCGCAGACAGGGGTTAGTTGCGGACAACATGTTTCTTTTGTGAGTGTTGTTGCAGTTTTACAAAATCAGGATAACAAAAGCTATATGAAGATACAACAAGAACTCTGCTCCACTCTGGAAGGACGACAAACAAGTAAACATTTGAATTTTTTTAATTAATATGCTCCCTCTACTCTTCCTTCTTGCGTTAGTGTTCTCTGTCCTAAAATTGTCTTTTTACTTTACCCCACATCTCCACCCCACAGCTTATACATATCACCCTCACTCCTACCCTCTCCCTTTCACTGCACCCATCACCTCTTGCAAATACTGAACTCACATGCTAGCACAAACACCAGGGCAGTGAAATATGTGCGCTCATATACATCCCGCTCCCATTTTACTTTCCTCACCCTTCTCCTTTTTTTTTATTTAAATATTTATTGATTTTCAAATAGAAAAAAATTATAGAAACATACTCTTTTAAAAACATTGACACGTTTTCAATACATTTATCGTATCACCTTTTCTACCCCCCCCCCCCCGACACCCCCCTGCCCTCCTATCTGCATCCCATCCCGCCCCACCCTCTCCGCTCTGCATTTTCCTATTCCTTTTTGGAGATCCACATCCTCCAAAGAGAAGAGAAAAGTATAACCACATTGTTTTATATATATATTATATTATCCCCCCATACATTCTATATTTAACTTTGACTTTTTTAATTTTTAAAATCCTCCCATTTGTTCCATCTTAAATAACTCTCCATCTTATCCTCGTTCATATGGTATAGTTTCTCCATCTTACATATTTGATCCACCCTATCAACCCAGTCCTCTATTTTCGGCACTCCTGTCTCCGCCAGAACTTGGGTATCAAGCCCTTTGCTGCATTCAATTAATACAATACACCAGATTTTTTATACTTTTGACTGAAAGCTTGGTACTATGGAACACGCAAGTCTCTGGATCTAATATTATATCAACCTCTGTAATTTTCAGAATCAAATTCACTATTTTCTCCCAGTACTCCTGTATTCTAGGACACTCCCACCATATGTGATACCTAGTGCTTCTAACTCCACATCCCCGCCAACACAAAGGTGAATTATCTCCACTTAGTCTGTGTGCCACACTCAGTGTGAAATGCCATCTTGCCATACATTTATGGTTCATTTCTACCTCCCGCATATTTATATTTTCATGAACTAATCTATACATTTTCCTCTGTTTTTCTACATTTATTATTACACCAATATCCCTTTCCCATTTTTATATATATGGTGACCTTATATCTGTGTTTATTTCAGTGAGAATCTTCTATATTTTAGAATTTCCGTGTTTCCCCACCCCCCCCCCCCCCGTGTGTCTAATAACCGCTCAAAGGGGTTCCAATCCTTTCTTGTTCTTAAGGGTTTTGGAAGCTTCCCTACAAAGTGTTTTAATTGAAAATAACGCCACTCATCCATTATTGTGAAAACTTCTCCCTTTTTCTTTTCCAAATCCTTAAATGAACCCCATTTCCTCCCCCACCATTATATCCCTCAATTGTGCATTCTTCCTCTTAATCCACTTCCCTGTGATGCCTTCTGTACCTGGGAAAAAAAACTCTGTAGACCCCTAAGGGCATTAACAGTGAATTAAATTCCCATCCCTTCTGTCTGTGCAATATATCCCAACCTCTTAAAACATTTAATGTGAACCAACTTGTGCTCTCTGCTAATCCTCGATATTGTATGGGCACCCATATGATCCTATTTAAATTACTTTTACTTAGTACATTTTCAATTTTAACCCAGCTTTTCCCTTTTGCGTTATGCGTGCAGTCAAAAATTCTCACCAATATTACCGAGTTATAGTATTTTTTAAAATCTGGTACTCCCAGTCCACCTCTTTATTTCTACTTAAAATTTCATAACCTATTCTTGGTTTTTTATTCCTCCAAATATATCTTGTTATCATTTTTTTTTAAATTATTTTAAAATGTGCTTCTGGGAGTTTAATTGGTATCATTTGAAATTTATATATAAGATTTTTGGAATAATCAACATTTTTATCCGATTTATATGACCTATCCATGATGGGGTTCCCCCTCCTAGTTTGCTTAGTTCATCCTTAATCTCATTTAGCAATGGAATATAGTTTGATTTATATAAGTTTTTGGAGGAGGCAGTTAATCTTATTTTTCTCTCTATTTGGAAGGTTTATATTTAAGATCTCTGTTTTTGTTGGATTCATTTTTAAGTTTGATATCTCCCCATACTCTTTCAGTGATTTCATTAAGTTTGATAAAGTTATCCTAGGGTTCCCCACATAGAACAACATATCATCCGCATAAGCTGCCACCTTATGATCTGTGTCTCCTATCCATATTCCCTTTATATCCACATTATTCCTTATTGTAGACAATAGAGATTCTAATAACAGAACATATAATAGTGGAGATACAGGGCATCCCTGTCTTGTTCCATTTAGCATCCCGATATACTCTGATAGATCTCCATTGACCATGATTGCTGCAGAGGGTATACTATATAACTTCCTTATCCATTCTCTCATTCTAACTCTCATCCCCAGTGCTTCCAGTGTATCCATCATATATCCCCAATTTACCCTATAAAATGCCTTTTCAGTGTCGATCGAGAGCACCACCGCAGGGTTTTTTTTTTTTCTACTTTTATGGATGAGGAACAAGGATCTCAAACTGTTATCTCTACCCTCTCTCTCTGGAACAAAGCCCACTTGATCTATATGCATCCATTCAGGCATTAGGTCTTTCAACCTATTTGCCAGAACTTTTGCGTATAATTTAGTATCTGTGTTCAGTAAAGAAATCGGTCTATAGCTTGAGCATTTCCTTCTTTATGAATGAGAACTACATGTGCTTGTATGGATTCCAGCATCATTTCCATCTCTCCCCCCAATGCATTCATATATCTCTTTAATTTAGGTACTAAAAGTTCTTTATATTTTTTATAATACCTCCCCGTATATCCATCTGGCCCTGGGCTTTTCCCAACCATGGTACCTTTTAATGCTAATTGTATTTCCTCCTGCGTTATTTCTGATTCTAGGGAATTCAATTGTACCTCACTTATTTTCGGTAATCCTGCGTTTTTTAGATATGTCCTTCTTTTTTCCGCTTTTCCCTATTCCATCCTTATTTGTAAAATTATGGGGAGTAATATTATACAAATTACTATAATATTCTTTAAAAACACCCTAGCGATAGGGTCTCTTATTTTTTCTATATAGTTCCTAGATTTTTTTTCCTCTGAGCCCTCATTAAATACTTTCCTGGCCTATCTCCCCATCTATACCTCTCGCTTATCATTTTATTAAATACTCTTCTCTTTTCTGATGCATCAACACTAAACACATACTCATAAACTGTGTAAAAAAAAAATACACAGTTTATGAGTATGTGTTTAGTGTTGATGCATCACACTTTTATCGATATATGTTAATTCTCACACTTTTATAAGATTGTTGCACAGAGAGAATACCACATTTTAGCTCACGAGTATCATTTTATTTACTCTTCTCTTTTTCTTCTTCCAGAAATTATTTAGTTCTATTTTATTTATTACCCTCTGCATTATCTCTTTTGTTACTCTACTTTTATGCGTCTGTTCAAGTTCAGAGAGTTCCTTGAGGAGCCCATTCATTTTTTCTCTTCTTTCCCTTTTCTTCTTTGCTCCGATCGCAATAAGGATTCCTCTTTAATATAAGCCTTATGAGCCTCCCACACTGTTGCTACCGACACATCTCCTGTATAATTTTCCTCAAAAAATTGCTCTATTTCTTTTTTAATTCTTTGATTAGTCTCTTGATCCAGGAAAGTGTCTCATTTAGTCTCCATACTTTTCGCCCTTCAACTTCTTTCCCCATATTAATTTCACTGTAACAGAAGCATGGTCCGATATTGACATTACTTCTATTTTTACTTTCACCAGAGACTCTATAAGTCGATGTTCCAACAATATATAATCCAATCTTGAATACATCTTGTGTGCATGTGAAAAAAATGTATAGTCTCTGTCCTTCATATGCTTAATTCTCCATATATATCCACACAAGTTGACACTGAAATATCATCTTCGTCAAGGATCTCAGAGACTTACCATATTTTTCACTCCATAAGACGCACCTGACCATAAGATGCACCTAGGTTTTAGAGGCAAAAACAGAAAAAAAAAATTCTGAACCAATGGACTGCAGACATAGTACAGGAGATGATCAAGACTGCGGACACAGTACAGGAGATGACCCAGAGACTGAGGACAGTACAGGAGATGACCAGACTGCAGAGACAGGATATGCAGAGACTGCGGACATAGTACAGGATATGGCCAGAGACTGCGGACATAGTACAGGATATGGCCAGAGACTGCGGACATAGTACAGGATATGGCCAGAGACTAGCGGACATAGCGGACACAGTACAGGAGATGACCAGAGACTGCGGACACAGTACAGGAGATGACCAGAGACTGCGGACACAGTACAGGAGATGACCAGAGACTGCGGACACAGTACAGGAGATGACCAGAGACTGCGGACACAGTACAGGAGATGACCAGAGACTGCGGACACAATACAGATGACCAGAGACTGGTACAGGGGACCAGAGACTGCGTACACGGTACAGGGGATGGACCAGAGACTGCGGACACACGGTACAGGAGATGGCCAGAGACTGCGGACACGGTACAGGAGATGACACCAGAGACAGAGACTGCGGACACAGGGTACCAGGACCAGATGACCTGAGACTGCGGACACTGTACAGGAGATGACCAGAGAGACGGTGCAGGAGATGACCAGAGACTGCGGACACGGTGCAGGAGATGACCAGAGACTGCGGACACGGTGCAGGAGATGACCAGAGACTGCGGACACGGTGCAGGAGATGACCAGAGACTGCGGACACGGTGCAGGAGATGCGGACACGGTGCAGGAGATGAGATGACCTGAGACGGTGCAGGGATGACACTGCGGGTGCAGGAGATGAGAGACTGCGGACCACGGTGCAGAGATGACCGACTGCGGACACGGTGCAGGAGATGACCAGAGACTGCGGACACGGTGCAGGAGATGACCAGAGACTGCGGACACGGTGCAGGAGATGACCAGAGACTGCGGACACGGGTGCAGAGATGAGACTGCGGACACAGGAGATGACCAGAGACTGCAGAGATTGACCAGGAGACTGCGGACACGGTGCAGGAGATGACCAGAGACTGCGGACACGGTGCAGGAGATGACCAGAGACTGCGGACACGGTGCATGACCAGAGACTGCGGACACGGTGCAGGAGATGACCAGAGACTGCGGACACGGTTGCACGGTGCAGAGATGACCAGAGACTGCGGACACGGTGCAGGAGATGACCAGAGACTGCGGACACGGTGCAGGAGATGACCAGAGACTGCGGACACGGTGCAGGAGATGACCAGAGACTGCGGACACGGTGCAGGAGATGACCAGAGACTGCGGACACGGTGCAGGAGATGACCAGAGACTGCGGACACGGTACAGGAGATGACCAGAGACTGAGGACACGGTGCAGGGATGACACGACTGTACAGGAGATGACCAGAGACTGCGGACACGGTACAGGAGATGACCAGAGACTGCGGACACGGTACAGGAGATGACCAGAGACTGCGGACACGGTACAGGAGATGACCAGAGACTGCGGACATACAGGAGATGACCAGAGACTGCGGACACGGTACAGGAGATGACCAGAGACTGCGGACAGGAGTACAGAGATGACATAGTACAGAGACAGAGACTGCGGACACAGTACAGGGGATGACCAGAGACTGCGGACATAGTACAGGGAAAATACCAGGGACACAGTACAGATGACCAGAGACTGCAGACAGTGCAGGGAATAACCAGAGACTGCAGACAATGACCAGAAACTGCAGACAGTAAAGGAGATGACCAGAGACTGCTGACCTTTGGGGAGGGAGGGGGAGCGGGTACCTGAATTTGACAGGTACCCACTCCCACTTCCGCGGAGCTGTCCTTCTCTCTTCTTCCCGCGCCGGCTTCTGTGACAGCCGGGTGCCCACTGCGCATGTGCGAGAAGCGCTGCGCTTTGTGAATGGCCCGGCGCCTTCTGGGACCTGTCATGTGTCCCAGAAGACACCGGACCATTCACAAAGCAAAGCGCATGCGCAGTGGGCACACGGCTGTCACAGAAGCCAGCGCGGGAAGACTGTGCAGCGCTGGAGTGAGGGACAGGTAAGGCCCTGCAAGAGAGAACAGCTGAGCGGCCGGCCCGGTATTCTGACACGGTGGCGGCAGAAATACCGGACCGGCCGCTTTATATTCGCTCCATAAGACGCACTGACATTTTCCCCCCTTTTTTGGGGGGAAAAAAGTGCGTCTTATGGAGCGAAAAATATGGTACTCTCCCCCTCTGCACAGGAGACATCATATCTATTTGTGGATCCATGCAAACATTGAAATCTCCAGCCACAATCAGACCACCTTTTTTAAAATCCATTAATTTTTTCAAGACATTTTTCAAGATTATCTCTGGTTTCTTTTTTGGACAATAAATATTTGCTAATGTACAATCTATTTCCTGTAATCTACCCTTTAAAAACAGAAATCTCCCTTCAGGATCTACCAATCTGTCCTCCAACTCAAACCTTATATTTTTCACAAATCCTATTGCCACTCCCTTAGCTCTTCTAATTGGGGAATCTGCATAGAACCACACTGGATAGTATCTAGAATTTAATTGCACGTTTGTTCCTCTCCCCAAATGTGTCTCCTGTAAGAAAACCACTGAAGACAGTCTGTGCTGAAGCTCCTTAAATAACCTAAATCTCTTCCCAGGGCTATTTAATCCATTGACATTGTAAGTTACAAACTGTATCTCTTCCATTCTTTCCTTACTCTTCTCTCCACCATCCCCTCTCCCCTCCTCTCTTTTCCATACTAATGTATCTCCTACTATATCACAGAGTTTTATCCAGACTAATATATCTCCTACTATATCGAGTCTTAAACTACCTACCCACTCCCCATACCCTCCCCCCCCACCCCTCTCCAATCCCGCCCCCCTCACAGCCCACCCCTACCCCCTTTAGGCCTATGATTTGCCTACGAATCATTTGTGATCCTAATCCCACCTTTGATTCAACTTTAAGGTGGAACTCTGACCATGTACTTCTTCCAGGTTGTTAGTCCCATCTCCCTTGTCCCACCTTTCTCTAGTAACCAAGGGAGAGAAGGGGGGAGAGAAAGAGAGAAAAAAGGAAAAAAAAAAAGAGAAAAAAAAAATTCCTTCCCCACGATTCACATATGGGAAAATGGTAAATAAATAAAGATAAAGAGAAAGGTATATAAAAAAAAAAACCCTACACAGCTCTCCTTCTCCTCCCCCCCCCCCACATTATTATTTCTGCTATTTGTTCCCCCTAGGAGCTACCTGCCACCTCTCTTTTTCTATACCCCCTATCTCCCTCTCCTCCTCCCCCACCCAGGAATGACTATTTTCTGCAACTCGAGTCTTTCACAAAAATCTCTCAAGTCCTCTGGGAATCTCATTCTTGCTGAACGACCGGTTTTCCAATCGATTACACTTGCTGGGAATCAAGTAATGGTTTCAATGTTCTCCTTCTTGTTAAAGTTTCCACTGCTAGGTCAGCAAAGATCTGCAAATTTATATCGCCATATTTTATTGCTGCCCTTCCTTTTACCTCCTTTTTTATCACGGCAATAATGAAATTGTACAATCACATTGTCAAGGTCCTACCTTTCCTCAGGGCTTGTGCTGCTCCATGTGCTGGAATCCATTTTAGGTGTCTGCAAAGCATTGTGGGATCCTTTATGCTTTCAGCCCCCTGCGGCTCCTCCCCCAGGAGGTGGCGGCTTATCACATATAAGTCTGCTGTTTGTAGCTGTCCATTGCATTCATGTCCTGTCTGTTGCACAGCAGCAAGCTCCTGTTTAGTTTCTCATTGCTCTCCTGGATACCGACTCGGCTTTGGCAAGACTCCTTCCTGGCTTCTGACCCCGGCTCTGGCGACCCTCCTTCCTGGCTTCTGACCCCAGCTCTGGCGACCCTCCTTCCTGGCTTCTGACCCCGGCTCTGGCGATCATCCTTCCTGGCTTCTGACCCCGGCTCTGGCGGCCATCCTTCCTGGCTACTGTCCTATCAAGTCATCCGATGTTGGACTTGCATAGACTCTATCTTGTTTTTGTTGATAAACCTACCTTTAATTGCACCTCCTTGTGTGTCTGGCTCCTCGCTCCCTGACACTACACGAATGCCATGAATCCTGACGGTGCAGGTACGCCCTCGCTCCCTATGTTGGTTGCCAGACTTCATCAGCAGGATCTCTTGTTGGATCAGTTCGCTCAGGCGTTGCAGACGCTGCTTGCACACACAGCGCACCTTACTCCTAGTGCTATTAGGCCGGTTGTCACTCCTGTGGTCGCTCCCGCTGTTACTCCGGTTGTTGCGCCTACCTCCGCATCTGCTGCCGCACCTGCGGTGCTCAGAGGTATGACTGGTTCAGCCCCCATTCCACAGCGCTTTGGGGGTGAGCCGAGTCAGTGTTGGGGTTTTCTTAACCAAATGGGCATATATTTTGAATTGATACCCCATGCTTTTCCTACTGAGAGGTCAAAGGTGGGCTTCCTAATCTCGCTGCTCTCAGACAAGGCCTTGGCCTGGGCAAATCCCTTATGGGAAAACGATAACCCTATGATTCATGAGTTTGCCGGTTTTGTTGCCTCCTTCCGTACGGTATTTGATGCGCCTGCTCAATCCACCTCTGCTGCTAAGCTGCTCATGTCCATGCATCAGGGTTCACGAACCGTTGCCGAGTACGCCATAGAATTTCGTACCCTGGTGGCAGAGGTGGGTTGGAAACAATGAGGCTTTGGTGGCTGCTTACTCTCATGGTCTCTCAGATGCGTTGAAGGACGAGATTTCAGCCAAATAACTGCCTGTGGAGCTCAAAGCACTCATTTCCTTCCTAATCCTGATTGACACCAGGCTCAGGGAGAGGCCTTCACTTAAGGAGCGTCTGCGGAGGCCTCCTAACCGATTGGTGCCTACATTTTCTGTCCCACCCGTTCCTCCCTCTCCTCCCACACCTCCTGGGGATGGCTTGTCTGGAGGTGAGCCCATGCAGCTGGGCTTTGCTCACCTTTCCGAGGGGGAGCGGGCCTCTCGGCGTCGGGAGGGTCGCTGCCTGTACTGTGGTCTCGGTGGGCATTTTCGGCAGTCCTGTCCGGTCCGTCTAGGAAAACGCTCGCACCTGAGATCCTGTCGGGGGCAGATCTTGGGTGGAGTTTCCTCGTCCCCGGTTTCCCGCAAAGATAAAACGCTAATCACCGTTCTCCTCTCTTGGGCGGAAGGCTCGGTGACGGCCCAGGCATTGGTAGACTCTGGTGCTGGCGGGTTGTTTATGGACAGTTCGTTTGCTGCTCAGTACTCCATTCCTCTGCAGGCTCGAGTTACTCCATTGGTCCTCGAGGCGATAGATGGCAGGCCCCTGCAACCGCCGCAGGTTATCCACGAGACCCTGCCGGTTGAAGTAGCTATTGGGGCTGTTCACAGGGAGT